AATTTCACACATTCGTTAATTCATGAAATACCGTTTTATCATTTATTGAACTTTAATACCGTGATAGGAAATAGGGTGAGGGGTCCTTACTCGTTTCGGGGTCCGAACACGGCTTCACAGTGCGCTTACAGGCTGTCCCTAATTTTCCCTGAATTTTTCTCGGGGAACTGAAACGCACTACTGGTACCTGCACGTGTTCCAAAAAATCCCAAATTAAGCCCAGGGCCCCCTTTCGGCCCAAATCGCAACTCCGGCACGGCGGCTCCGCCGTGCTCCGGCGACGGCACCGCCGCTGGCGGCGGCGATTCGCCTCGGGTTGGCTGTTTTCGACCGTTTCTGGCCGAATTTGGCCACACTCGCATCGATCCCTGCGAGAAAACAACCCTAGGGCCCTCGGGGGGCCAAAAAATACGGAAAAACGGAGCTTACCGGCGGCGGCGCTCTCGGGTGCGGCGGCTCTCCGGCGAGGTTCGTGTTTTGGTGATTCGGCTCCGGTCAACCTGTAGAAAAAAGAATGGTGATCACGGTGATATAAAAATTGCATCAAACGGAGGCCGGGAAGGGCCTCATCGGAGGCAAAAACCGAGAAGGGGCGCGGCGGCACCGCTGGGCTTCAGCTGTGTATCCCGGCCGTTTGGCCGGGATTTTGGCTCCGATTTGGCCACAGGAGGAATCAGCGTGGAAAAACGAGTCGGGGGTACGAAATTTACCTCGATCGGCGGTCGGAAATTCCTCCGGTGCGGCGGCGGGTGGCGGCGGCCGGCTTCTGGTTCGTCTTCTCTGACGAGCGGCAGGCGGCTAGGGTTTGTGGTCTGGTGTGGGGGTTCTATTTATAACCCTTTGCCTTTTGATCTCAGCTGTCCATTTTGTTTTAATCTGGGCCGTCCGTTTTTGATTAAATCTGGACTGTCCGTGCGTTTAAATCTGGGCCGTCCGATCGTACGCTTGATCTGGGCCGTCTGATCGCGCCTACGCGGATCGCCAACGTGGCCCTTTTTGGAACGACGTGGTCTTACCACGTGGCAGGTCCCGGTTGGCCGGGACTGCTGACCGGGCCTGCTGACGTGGCTGCCGACGTGGCTTTTTTTTTTTTTTTTTTTTTCGGCCCCTTTCCGGGCGCTACACCCTCCATCAGCAGGATTTTTTTCTGATGAAACAATGGAAACTATGATTGCTGTAGGATCGGTTTTACGCAAAACTGGTGCACCGCTCATGATTAATGTGTATCCTTATTTTGCTTATGCTGCAGACCCATCTCATATTTCTTTGGATTATGCTTTGTTTAATTCGAGTAAAGCAGTTGTTGATGGCCATTTTAAGTACTATAATTTGTTCGATGCCATGGTGGACGCATTTCATGCACCACTTGAAAGGATCAATTCTGAAGATGTGAAGATTATAATTGCTGAGTCCGGATGGTCGAGTGATGGCAATCCTCCTTTTAGTTCTATAGAAAATGCAGAGACTTATAATAAGAGATTTTATGATCATGTGACGCAGCAAGGAACACCGAAAAGACCAGGTGATGTGATGGAAGCATTTTTCTTTGAGATGTTCAATGAAGATATGAAACCAACTGAGGTTGACAAGCATTTCGGATTTTTTTATCCAAACATGCAACCTGTTTATCCATTTTGGTGATTGTAATTTTATATTTGTGTGAAAACATTGGAGAACATGGTGATTTGCTCCTAAGTACTCACTGTATTTGTTTCCATTGAAAAATTAATAAATTACACATTCGGCAAATATAGATTTTAAATAACCAAACAAGCTGACGACTTTTTCAAATCCGGGGATCTTTCGAACAAATTTTAGACGTATACACTATTTATTGTTGGATAAAATTACCATTTAAAATAGATTTTTTCTTATCGGTAAAGTCCAAAAGTGTAGAACAATAGTTACAATATCTAAATAAGATTTAATATATGCAAAATACTTGAAGTTTTACCATACTTCAGATTTTCTTTTCTTTAATTAGATTTTAATTATTGTAGTGATTAAGAATAATTTTTTGATTGATGTATATCTTATTGAATATTACAGCTCTATATATGAATTTTTTAAGACAAAAAGGAAATAAACAATTATAATTAAATAGAAAGGATCTAATTTATTCTTATACCATAAATTTCTTCATTTTTTAAATATTACAGTTCTATGGATATAGATTTTTCGTATCAGAAAAAAAATAATAATTATAATTAAATACAGAAGATGTAATTTACTTTTATATCATATTTTTTTTTCTCTTTAACACTCTTATTTATTTATTTTTAATATTATGATTTACTTTCTACTTAATATATTGATTTATTTTCTTTTTAATACCTGATTTACTTCTTTTTTAGTATTTTAATTTATTTTTTTAATACCTTAATTTATTTTCTCTCTGTTGTAGTATCTTATTAAATTCTATATACATATATATATATTTTAGAAAACTTGCAAGAGATATGGGGCCAGACTATGCTAAATGGATGTTGACCATGGTATTGTTATTCCTAGTTCAAATGCTTATTCTGACTGGTAAGATTCTTATCTTGCAATTATTATGTCATTTATCTTTAACATAAGATCGTATTTCTTAAATTTAGTTTAATTCATCTAAAATGTTCTTTTTTCCTACTATATAGCACGGTTAAGTGATTTAATTAACTAAATTAGTGTTGTTTGTAATTGTAACGGCCCCGAAATTTTAAAATGAAATATGTGTATTAAAATGTCAAATGCGGAAGCATAATAAAAATTTTGATTAACATCCCTTACACTAAAACCAAAAACATGCTCAAAGTATAAAAGAACGAACTAACTAAAAGAGAAACTCGAAAATAAAAACGATAAATATAACTACGGAGTCTTCAGGCGTCCCCTTCGCCGTCTTTCTGCGGAACGGGCTCGGGAACAATGTCTTCCTGATCTGAAATGATTAAATAAGGAATGAGCTACACCAGTCCAGTAAAGACATCACACTATCTCACCGTCACGGAGGTAAAGGTGGGTAGAAAACACAAAAATACCAATGGAGCATAATTTACAATAAATTCTTTTATCAATAATAAAATCCTTTACTATCCATTTACCTCGGTGAAATTTATAAAACAATATACGAAAGCAATAACATTATCATCATCATGAAATCATATGAGCTGTATAACATAATACTTATCACGCCTTTTGCAATTCAATCATTACACAACATATTTTTCCTCATTTACCAGTCTACTAGTATCCATGGGGATCCATAGGAGTCCCGCTACCCGTGAACCTTTAACACTTGTAATCAGATTCCAGGGTTGTCCCCATACCCCGTTCGGTATGGGCGCCAAAACTATAAACCTCAATACCCTGTCCGGTATGAGGGTGAAACGGGTCGTCCCCATACCCCGTCCGGTATGGGCACCAAAACACATAAGGTCTCCATACCCCGTCCGGTATGAGAGACCGCAATCCTGGTAGGGTTCCCTACGGACCCGGTCCGTCCACCATCTCCCAGGATATCTAGTCAGGCTGACCATATTATACAATTATCAATTTATATAACCTTTCATTCCCCTTTTTCCTCAGTCAGCATCATCAATTTACACACAAACAAGCAAACCAGTAATTTATGCCAAACAAGACAACATACAACATCGGGTTCTCAGTCATTCAACTCATAATCAATAAAACAGTAATATATGCACACGAAACTATGAAATAAAAACATCAGACCTTATATTGCACTTAAAACCTTAAAATAGGCCAAACAACAGCTAACCGACAAACACACCAGACTCGGGCTCCATTAGCGATCTTAAGCAATTTCACACATCTATTGATTCATGAAATACTGTTTTATCATTTATTGAACTTTAATACCGTGATAAGAAATAGGGTGAGAGGTCCTTACTTGTTTCGGGGTCCGAATACGGCTCTACAGTGCGCCTACAGGCTGTCCTTAATTTTTCCTGAATTTTTTCCGGGGAACTGAAACGCACTACTGGTACCTGCACGTGTCCCAAAAAAATTCCAAATTAGACCCAGGGCCCCTTTCGGCCAATATCACAATTCCGGCACGGCGGCTCCGTTGTGCTCCGGCGATGGCACCGCCGTAAGCGGCGGCGATTCGCCTCGGGTTGGCCGTTTCGGCCACACTTGCATCGGTCCCTGTGATAAAACAACCCTAGGGCCCTCGGGGGACCAAAAAATTACGAAAAATCGAAGCTTACCGGCGGCGGTGCTCTCGGGTGCAGCAGCTCTCCGGCGAGGTTCGTGTTTTGGTGATTTGGCTCCGATCAACCTGTAGATAAAAAAATGGTGATCACAGTGATATAAAAATTGTATCAAACGGAGGCTGGGAAGGGCCTCATCGGAGGCAAAAATCGAGGAGGAGCGCGGCGGCACCGCTGGGTTTCGGCCGTGTTTTTCGGCTGTTTGGCCGGGATTTTGGCTCCGATTTGGCCACAGGGAAACTCAGCATTGAAAAACGAGCTGAGGGTATGAAATTTACCTCGATCGGCGGTCGGAAAACTCCCCGGTGCGGCGGCAGGTGGCGGCGGCCGGCTCCTCCGGCGTCTAGTTCGTCTTCTCCGACGAGGGCAGGCGGCTAGGGTTTTTGTGGTCAGGTGTGGGGGTTTTATTTATACCCTTTTGCCTTTTGATCACAGCCGTCCATTTTGATTAAATATGGGCCGTCCGTGCTTGATTGAATCTGGGTCGTCCGTGCGTGCGAGGATGCATCTGGGCCGTTCGATCGCCCGCACGCGGATCGCCCACGTGGTCCGTTCCTGGGTCGACGTGGTCTTGCCACGCGGCAGGTCCTGGTTTGCCAGGACTGCTTACTGGGCCGCTGACGTGGCTGCTGACGTGGCACTGACGGGGCGCAATTTTTCTAAATTGCGTTTTGACCCCCCGGTTTCCGATTTTCTTTTCAAAAATACCCCCAGAATCCTAATTTTCACATCTTTTTTTCAAAATCAATTTCAATTAAATCCAAATAATATTTTTACCTAATTTTACAATTATTGTTATTTTTATTAACTTAAATTAAATTAAACTAAATAAATCAATTAAAATTTAAAATTATAAAATAAACTAAATAAATAAAAAATAAAATTAATAATAATAATAATAAAATTCTAAAATTATTGGGCGTTACAGTAATAATTTGAAGTGGTTAATTTTCTCAATTAAAATTTTCATTTAGTAGTATATTTCAAATTATGAATTTTCTAGAAAAAGTATTTAAGATTATTTAATTTAAAAGAAATAACTTAGCAAAATTTATTCTATGTACATGAGAAAAACTACTCTACATATGTTAGATATAGTTAATAGTCCATTTGAAATAAAATGCTGCAGGTGGTAGCACAGTGAAGACAAGTGTTTGTTATGGGTTAAATGGAGACAACATTCCTTCTCCACATATGTAATAAACTTGTTAAAGGAAAAAAGAATAGCACTCATTAGGATTTATGAGCCACTCCCTCAAGTGCTTGATGCTTGTGTAGATCAGGACTTCTTCTTGTTGCAATTGGTCCTAGAAGTGAAGATCTGCCAAGCTTAGCACAAAATCCAAACATGGCTCCTGCGTGGGTTAATACCCATGTTGCTTCTTATGCTGCTACTGTTTCTTTCAAATGGGTCACAGTAAGCAATGAAGTTATCCCAAGCCAATATGTTTCATAAGTTGCATTAGTAATAGAGAATAAGCATAATGTACTTCGGTTTATTAAGCTAAACAATGTCCTAGTGACCACTGTTGTTATTACAGATATTTTTGGAACCTCATTTCCTCCGTCGTCTGGGTTTTTTTCTGATGAAACAAGACCAATTATGACTACCATTGCGGCAATTTAAGGGGAAGAAGAGAAGTGGGAGCCGGAAAGAGAGGGTGCGCCCAGGAAGCACTGCGGGTGGTCGAGATCTGTGCGCATGCGGCGGGTGGCCAATCTGCGCCTATTAAAATATAGTTATTTAAGAATACTTTTATAATTCTTGAACTTTAAGTCTATGACATTAAGAAAGAGAAAAATAAAAGGGTTCTATGATAACTTGTTAAAATTAGCATAATGAAGTCATGTATTAGAAATGTCTTGAACATTCATTAATCAAAACCCTAAATTTCCAGGTAAAGTCTGTTCTTTTTAATGAATTATGCACTTCCAACTTTGATATAATAATTTTAATCAAATAATTTAATCGCTTTTTTTTAGTTACGATTTAAGATAAATTTAATTAGAATATATAATTTTACTTTTTATTATGTAATTGATATAGATTTGAATAAATCTATCAGTTATCCAACTTACGATTATGAGTAGGTAGAATCTATTAATTTAATTATTATATATTTAGATTAAAAATTATATTATCTGTCATCTTACTAAAATTAAAATATTTAATTAAAAGATTAATTAATTATGATTAAAGATTATATTAAAATTAAAACTAATTAAAAATTTAACTCTCCAAATGCAGAATTATATTAAAATTAAAACTTCGGGATGAAGATTTTTATTGAAATTAAAATGTATAATGAATTAAAATTTTATAGATATTATAATTTCTGTGTATTAATATCTAATATTTAATTAAAAACACTTTTTAAGTTCAATAATATGAAAACAAATTTTTTGAAAAAAATTAAAGGAAAACATACTTTTTTTTTACAATAAAGAATAAGAAAAATAAGTGCAAGTAAATATTAAAAATTAAATAAAATATGAAAAAATAGGAACGAAGAAATATAAGGGAATGACTTAGGATTAAGGAAAATATATACATATATATATATTATATAACACTGGAAATTGACACGTGATAATTCTTAAATTTTTTGAAAAAAATTATTTTATTATTCGCAATAATTTTTAATTCTTTATCGATTAAAAATAAGAAGAATTAAAATGACTGTCGAAAATTTCACATTGAAAATTTATAAATAATTTTATAATTTAGATGTTAGAATTAAACTATATTCTTTTTATTAATAATTATTATTTAGTTAAAAATTTTAAATATAAAATTAAAAACTAATTTTTAATTGACTGCAAATATATATATATATATATAATAATTATCCATTTACAAACCCTGAAATTGCATACTATATAAATTCTTAATTGTTTATTTGCTTTCCCCGCCTCATGTATCATGCAGATCTTCTACTAAAAGATAAGTTACGATAATTTTTATATTTTTATTAGAATTTTTCTATATATGTAAAATAATATTTATATTATTATTTTTTATATAAATTCTTCTAAAATTATACTACAAGCTGAAAGTTTAGTTCTAATTAAATTTCAAGCACCCTTCTGTCAATGGACTCTAGGACGTAACAGATAAACAATATACTATGTTGGGATAGAAACCCACCAAAAGGGAACAATATCTCCTTCAATTTTAAATTGATTTTATCCTTCTAGCTTTTAATTTTTAATTAATTCTAAGTTTAACATTAACTTTGTTAGGGAACTAAGTTGGATGAGTAATCTTAATATAAATATTATTTTAAATTAAGTGATATATATATATATATATATATAAACTAAAAAAATATAGGAGGCTTGTAATTAATAAATAGTAATTAGAGGATATGGATCTAAAATGGTATTTTTTTAAATAAAAAAAAATATTTATACATACAGTTAGTTTTGAGATAAGCAATAACTTTTTCCTTTGGGTATGAGATAAAATCTATCCCAACACAATTGTAAAAGACTTCTATCTAAAGGATTTTCAATAATTAATTTCAGGGATGTGCAATTAAAGCTTTTGCCAATTGTAAAAGACTTCTATCTACAGGATTTTCAATTATTAATTTCAGGGATGTGCAATTATTATCTCTCAACGTTTTAAATCCATTGGATGTCAATATTTAGAGACATTAAATGCAGTCTTATGTTAGATCTGTAAATATTTATATATAAATTCATCTTTCTGTAAACTTAGAGAAAAAAAAAAAACCAAAACAAAACTTTGTTGAAGGCGAGAACTTGCAGTGACAATGGGGTCGAAGTGGGATATATTCACGTTTACGACAACACTCCTACTCTTGCTTCAAATGATTACTTTTGTTGGTAAGAAATCGATCTCATATTTATGCTTTCAAAACTCAATTTACATTAAATGATTCTTTATAAAAATTAGATATATATATATATATATATATGACCAAAGAATCGATTTTTTAAATTAAATGTTACAGGTGCAAAGCAGATAGGTGTTTGTTATGGGTTGAACGGCGACAATCTTCCTTCTCCAACAGATGTGATAAACTTGTATAAGCAAAGTGGAATTGGATTTCTTAGAATCTACGAACCATATCCGGAAGTACTCGATGCCTTACGGGCATCAGCACTTCTTGTTGCTGTTGGCCCTAGAAATGAAGAAATACCAAGTTTATCACAAAGTTTAGATGCAGCAAACGAGTGGGTTAAAGCTAATATTGCTCCCTATGCTGACACTGTTGCTTTTAGATGGATCACCATAGGCAATGAAGTTATCCCCGGCGAATACGCTCCATATGTTGCACAAGCAATAGAAAATATGCACAATGCAATTTCGTCTGCTGGGTTTGATTATATTATGGTGACTACAGTTGTTCCTTCAAATGTTCTTGGTAACTCATATCCTCCATCAGCAGGAGCTTTTTCTGATGAAACAAGATCAAATATGATTGATATAGCATCGGTTTTGAGTGAAACTGGTGCACCACTCATGCTTAATGTGTATCCTTATTTTGCTTATGCTGCTGATCCGTCTCATATTTCTTTGAATTATGCTTTGTTTAATTCGACCGAAGCAGTTGTCATTGATGGCCAATACAAGTACTATAATTTGTTTGATGCCATGGTGGACGCAGTTCATGCAGCACTTGAAAGTGTCAACCATGGAAATGTGAAGATTACGATTGCTGAGACGGGATGGCCGAGTGATGGCAATCCTCCTTTTAGTTCTATAGAAAATGCAGAGACTTATAATAAGAACTTTTATGATCATGTGACGAAGCAAGGAACACCAAGAAGACCAGATGATGTGATGGAAGCATTTTTCTTTGAGATGTTCAATGAAGATATGAAACCAACTGAGGTCGACAAGCATTTCGGATTTTTTTATCCGAATATGCAACCTGTTTATCCATTCTGGTGATTGTAATTTTTTATATTTCTGTCAACATTGAAGAGCATGGTGATTTGCTCCTAAGTTCTCACTGTATTTGTTTCGATTGAAATATTAATAAACTATGCATTGGTAAATATAAATTTTAAATAACCAACAAGCTAACGTGAGTGATAAAAAAATAGTTTAATTAATTAAAATTAATATCACTTACAACATCCTCATATAGAATTACGAGGTCTTTTGGTTTAACATGTGTAATATCTAAGCATATTTTCTGTTCTGACTTATTGTGTTTATCTTCTTTTTTTTAGTATCCAAAAAAATATATATTTCTTACATAAACAACTAAATTTTATAATTTAATTTAGTATAATTTAAAGTAAATATACTATCTATTATTGGACAAAACTATCAAAATAGATTTTTGCTCATCACGAAGTCCAAAAGTGCATAATAATAATTATAATTTTTCCATTAATATATATCTTGTTAAATATTACAACTCTATATATATAAGTTTTTTTGGGAAGAAAATGGAAATAGACAACTGCAATTAAGTACAAATAATTTAATTTACTCTTATACCATAATTGTCTCCCTCTTCTGAATATTACATGTCTATATACATAGGTTTTACATGAGGAAAAAGGAAATAGATAATTATAATTAAATACAAATGATGTAATTTCCTCTTTTTCCTTATTTATTTTCTTTTTAAGACCTTAATTTACTTGATCTTTAATACATTAATTTACTTCCTTTTCTGTAGTATCTTAGTAAATGTTATATACATATATATATATATATATGTTATGTGAAATGAAGAGAACAGTTTAGTGGAGATTTATTTTCTCAGTCAAGTTTTCTTTTCTTCAGAAAATTTTCTCTTGGGAAAATTGCAAGAGATATGAGGCCACATTATGCTAAATGAATGTTCACCGTATTATTTTTACTCTTGGTTCAAATGTTTAGTCTAACTGGTAAGATTCCAATCCTGCAATTATTATGTCGTTTATCTCTTACATAAGATCATATTTTTTAAATTTAATTTAGTTTATATTAAAATATTCTTTCCCCCTAGTATATAACATGGCTAATTGATTTAATTAACCGAATTAGTATTTACTATAACAATTTGAACAAGTAATCGACATTTGTTAGATATACTTAACATTCCATTTAAAAGAAAATGTTGCAGGTGGTAGCACAGCAAAGACAGGTGTTTGTTATGGGTTAAATGGAGACAATCTTCCTTCTCCAACACATGTAATAAACTTGTACGAGCAAAAAGGAATAGAACTCATTAGGATTTATGAGCCATACCCTCAAGTGCTTGATGCCTTGCGTGGATCAGGACTCCTTGTTGCAATTGGTCCTAGAAATGAAGATCTGCCAAGCTTAGCACAAAATCCAGACGTGGCTCATGCGTGGGTTAACGCCCATATTGCTCCTTATGCTGCTACTGTTTCTTTCAAATGGGTCACAGTAGGCAACGAAGTTATCCCAGGTCAATATGCTTCGTATGTTGCATTAGCAATCGAGAATAGGTACAATGCACTTCGGTTTATTAAGCTAAATGATGTCGTAGTGACTACTGTTGTTCCTACAAATGCTCTCGGACCTTCATTTCCTCCGTCATCTGGGATTTTTCTGATGAAACAAGACCAATTATGGCTACTATTGCGGCGATTTTAGCCTCATCCGGTGCAACCCTCATGATTAATGTCTACCCATATTTTTCATATGCTGCAGACTCGTTTACTATTCCATTAAACTACGCTGTGTTTAATTCGAGTCGTCCGGTTTGTAGTGGATGGCCAATACGAGTATTATAATCTGTTCGATGCCATGGTTGATGCATTTAATGCAGCACTGGAGAAAGTTAATTTTGAAAATGTGAAAATTGTAATTTCCGAGACTGGATGGCCTAGTGATGGCAATCCTCCTTTCACTTCTATAGAAAATATAGCGACTTACGATAAGAAATTCTACTTTCATATCTCACATAAGGGAACGCCAAGAAAACCAGATGCTTTGGTGGATGCGTTCTTTTTCGAGATGTTCAATGAAGATCTAAAGCCAAATCCGGTCGAGCAGCATTTTGGATTTTTTTATCCCAATATGCAACCTGTATATCCCTTCTGGTAATTTTCAGTTTGATTTGTGTAAAGTGTTTGAGAAAAAAAGGGAGATGTTACTGGCTTTTGCATTTATTTTGAACAAAAACTAATATAATAAATTATTGGGTACATTTCTTGTATGCTATTAGGTGATGATCATCCTTTTTATCTTCTAGAATAAAATGAGCTTTGACAGAAAAAAGATAGTAATCAAAATGAATTTAAGACGGATTTGCCTGTAATTTACAGCCGAGGACCCAACCCTATTACGCCACAAATGCAAAAACTCTCTGCAGGTCAAGTCTTTTTGAATTATCAATCAGTAATGTTGCTCCAATACCCAACAACAAGCTACTGTGATACTAATCAAAAAGACGGTTGTCATTATTGGACGAGGAATTGCCATGGTGAACAGTTACAAGCTTGGTAGAAGAACCAAATTTGCATACTCGTACGTCTGCAAATAGAGGGGAGGAGAGGGTTGAGGAAGGAGAGAATAAAAGAGAGAATGAGTGTCAAAAGAGAAGATGATTGGATTGTTCTTTTTTCTTCAATTTTAGAACTGTATCAATTCGTCTAAAATTAAACTATTTCTATATATTAGATTTTCATGTTAGAAATGATTAAACAATCATCGGTACTAAATAATAACACATGTCATCCAATAACATGTAGTTCCATTTATTATCCAGAGTTAAACAAGAATTAATAGAGAGAGACTAATTTACCTCTGAAAATTATAAACAATTAACTTAACACAAGAATACATGTTTTCTTTACATTTAAATTAAATGCAATGCTAAATGTAAAGAGAATTGGAAAATCCCAAATGAAAGTTCAAAAATAATTTTTTAAAAAAAAGAAAGTCTGTCAACAGTTATCTGATTACAAATCAATTATCATTGCTCCTTGTTTTTGGCTAAAATTTCCATGTAGAGATGTTATTTAAGCAAGAAAGTAAACGGGGAGGTCAGACAAGAGAATTTTCCATTTTCCATTCTCTCTCTTTCTTCTTCAGCACAGACACCAAGTCTCTGGCATCTTCGTCTTCTTCTTCCAACACGCCTAGTGTGTCTTCACCTTCTGCTTCGTCCGGCTCTTCATACTCAACCTTAAGATCTTTTTATACTTAAAATATCCATCATGCATTAATTACGAGAAAACAAACTCGGTACAAAAAAAGCAGGAGAAAGAAAAAAAAAAAAATCAACAAGCTCCTGAGACTTGAAAAACTTGTTTGAGTTAGATTTCAATGTTTTATGATTTGTATTTGGCTATATATTTCAAATTTTACATTTTTGTGGTCTCTTGGTGTTGTATTTTTTCATTTGTTTGGGTATTTCTTATTAAAAAAAATACATATATATTTTCTCATTTTGTATCAAGTCTAGTCATACCATTATTCCTACAATTAGCCCACAAAACATGTATATGAATAACTCAAAATTTTAATATAAAACCTAACATCTCATGTGATATATAAAGTAGTAATATATACAAAATATAATGTCAAAATTTAGAATTTAACAAAACAAAACGAAAATTTCTAAAATATGAATAAAATATATATGAACTTGAACACTTTTACAAATTCTACTCGCCCGACAACGGTTCTGGATCTTCATTCTCATTTGAAAAATATTAGGGTGAAATTTAATGAGTTTCACTAATTTAATAGGTATTTTCGTTCTTCAAAAACTCATATCAGATATCATGCAAAAATACACAATATGTGATAAATGCAGTAGTAATGTTTTCAATACAAAATTTGTTTATAATTTTCACTATTTTCTAAACCAGAATTCACTTATTAAACATAATTGTTTCGAATATTCTAATTTTATATTTTTCAAATCGAATTTCTTAATTACACTCGAATATCATTTATAGTCTCGAAATATCATCTCATACACTCGGAAAAAAATATATACACTTGAATGTCATTTCTAAAATTTTGTCATGCAATACTGTTTATGTCATCATCAAGTAGAGGCAAAATGGATCCCTCCATCGTATAGATAGCACACACACACAAAATCTCACATTGACCACAGCAGTTATGTTTGCCAAGTAACCAATGCTCACAAACACTTATCTATGTCTAAATTAGTTTCAAATTCTATCCATGTACAAGTTCACCATATTCACTGAACTTCAGCCACACACACACATTCTCTTCCTCAATTCAGACTAAACAAGAAAGTATCCAGAGTCCATACACTATTCACTCACATCTGCTCCTTTCCTAATTTCTTATTTATTTCCCTTTCATTCTATTTTTCCTTTAAATATATTTAAGTTAATTTGTTTTGTAACCATAATTAATTCATTTTCTATTTTTATTTGTTTTCTTACGTTATTTTCTTTTTCTCAACCTTTCACTTTATTAGTAGTTTCTTTTCACTTATAAATTTTATTTATTATCACACATTCAAGTATTTATCAGTTCTTAAATTTTTCTAGTTTCTATCTCCTCATGATTTCCAAACAAGTTAGGGTTCACTCTTCATATGTCACACGGTTAAATGAAACAATGTCCAATGATACAAAGACCAGGAAAATCAAGTGTCTCAAACTCATTCCTGGCAATTTTCACTGCTGAGAAGATGTCCAAGTTCTATTCTTCATCAAGGAATTAAGTTAGTATATGTTCTATATTAAAATACACATAAATTTAAGAATACAGATGCATAAGCTTTTAAAATTCCAATCCAGGTTTGGAATGAGGAAATACTTACTAATGTTCATCGAATAGATTGTATTCCACTTGATCAACGGCCTAGAATCACCATACATAAACATAATCAAATTTAATTGGATTAAACCTAAAAGAAAACTACTAACAGTGGCCATTTTGGGTAATTACCAACAACTAGCTCCTTCTTCGATATTCGATGAACTACTACT